CTTCCGTAGTAGGATGGGCGAAGAGCAATCAGCTCATTGAGCATATTCTTGTAGAGTGACGTGATAAGTGAACAACAGTACGGGCATCATAAAGACAATTCTCGTGATCAAGTGTTACGGGTAGTAGGTGGCTCAATTATGAACCGGTAGCCCATAAGTAGCACCTCAGTAGAGAAAGCAGGCCGGGCCTTGAACGAGTTTGTCGGACGTCGGCAAGCCCAATCGGCAGGATTTGTCCTGCAACCAATTGCCGGCAAGAGCATAGGAAATCGCTCTACGACACCCCAGGCAACTATATGTACACACGCAATTCCGCTTGTGAGGGTTGTCTTGCAGAGTTGCAGTACACTGTACCGGTTGCAAAACTCGCGCGTCTCCAGCTTCGTTATCTCGCCATTTCGAGTGACGAAATGGTATATTCTCTGCGAGTGCGGACAACGATGCCAAATGCATCAAAGCATTTCGCTGATCACTTGATTGCGGGAAGTGTGCTTAATCGAGCGCCAGGCTCAACCTTGTATAAGCTTCCTTCACTATCCGTTAGACCGATAGTATCAAGCTTCATAATCCGTTGGACCGACCTACACAAAATCTCAGCGCTCTGACCGAACAACCTGACTTGTAGGATCGTGGAAAATACAGTCCTCATCATTGCGGACTGTCGGATCGCAATCAGCGGTTCCCACCTGCGGCCTTCCCACCAGTGGCTGATTCCTTCCTACATCGATCATTGCTCGATCACCATTGGTAGAGCAAGGCAGCCGGACGCGAGCTCGTGCCGCGCTGCGCTCGCCGCCCCCGACAAATTGCTGTGTTACAAACTATAAACCATGAGCCATTGTGACGTAGTCATTCGAGGGGTATCTCATCTGGTGTGTTTCAGTGCACAGCAACATTTTTAGCAGCCTGCACACGAACGAAGGCACCGTGAAAGGAGCAAAGCCTCTTCCGTGGTCACCTCCGCTGTACACGCCATTTCGGTGATGGCAAGGGCGTGGCTGCGTACTTCATTTGAAGGTGATTGCGGAAGCGCTTCTGGTGGAATATTGCCGTTTCGGAACAACTGTGACTATATATGTCTTAGCCCAGTACAGTACAGAGTTGACAGTTGTCTCAATGGGGAAACTCGTATGTATTTGAGCAGTTAAATCTATGCCCCGCCCCTGTTAGGAATGAACTCACCAGCCCGCCTCGGCGATTGAGCAGAGCCATATATGTAGTGTATTTGGTAAGGCAGTGTACAGAATGAACAGTGGCAGGTGGACGTAAATGAGCCCCCCTCCAAATTTTTTGACCGCGCGACTATGCTGAGATTTACGATACTAACCGTCCCGCGAATTGACGATTCCCTCGGCAAAAGTGATACATCCATGCATGAACTGAAAGAAAAGGCCTCAATGACATCACCGAGGGACTCCAACCTCGAATCTGCTTCTTCCTTCACCATAGTCAATCAGCCCTAGTGGTCCGCTGTTGCCTTGTTCGCTGCGCACTCTGAGATTGCGCAAGGAAGCTGGGATTGGTGCAGCGCCAGCCTGTTTTTCACTAATTACGGTCGCCTACGAGCTTCCACAGTTGGTGGAGAATGTGAAACCCCGCCCCTCCCTGACAAGCCCCAGTATTCGCAACCTACTAGACTGTACATACGCAAAACGCCACCATTATCTCTGGAGCTCAGACAACCAGTAACGTCCACCCGTCTCCAAGGATTGGAGACGCACTTGGTTTTCTTCTATAGTCCTCAATAGTTCGGGTAGCTCCACCTAAGTGTCTATGTTGGGTGAGCGGGAAATCATACTGTCGACTCGTGTGCAAAGGAAATGGAAATGTTTATACTGCAATCACCTTTGGATGCGCGGTTCCCTGATATGCGGTAGGCGTGGCTACGTACTCACTTCTCGGCTGCTCTTTCAGTGGGATATTCTCATTTTGAACACTTGCAATCATGTCTTTCCAGCACAAGACAATATTAGTTATCTCAAATTCAGATATTTCGCGAGTAACCAACCCATCCTACTCCATTTTCAGATGAAACACGCGGCCACGCCTACTGCGGTCAGTAAAAATGGATTCAAGGTGTGTTTTGTGTAACGTCACATAAATCACACTACTTTATTTCACATTTGAAGAACAAAAATAAAAAACCCTGTGTACTGGAAACCTTGTATCAATCATTGGGCAATATACGTAAAAATAAAACGTGCACACATACTGAGCATAAAAGCGAAATATTTAGGCAATTTCCGCTCAAAATTCGCGCTAAATCTGACACCTCCACAACTGCTGTAATAGCGCAAATTGCCTTTACGGTTAGAAAGCGTTAAAATTTGACATGGTCTTCAAAAAAGAAAAAAAAAACACAATGCACTTGAGCACACAAAGCTACCTTGTTTTGAGGACACTGTCAATACCTTGTAGACGACGACATGGAAATGGATGACATGGCAAAAATCACGCACACAAAAATTGTCACTAGTATAACAATAGAATCCAATACAACTAATATACAATGTCTAGAAGAATAGACACAATTATGAAATGCGACGATTAAAAATGACATACACGAGGCGTAGCGAGGTGAGACGCTCACTATAAATCGAGCAAGACACTGTAAAAGCGGAACGGCACACGTATAATTTAAATGAATTGCGTAGTAAGCGAGATAATGGGAGGCAAGACAAAAATTGGAACAATAAGGTTTCTAATCTAGTAAAAACACTCACAAACCGAACTCAAATTAATTCAAAGTATCGGTGAAGCCTAAAATGGCTTAAAACAGCAATGAAGAAAATGGCGTAGGAAGGATACTTATAGGAACCTGTGTTCCACAGCGAAAAAGCATCTAGAAAGCGCATTATCTGTGAAGAAAAGAATTCAGCCCTCCCGCCAGCGACCCCCGTTTTCTCGCTTGAGCTGCGCTGAAACGAAAAATCGTGCCAGCGCACTCGCAGCATGTGGGAAGCCAATTCATCACGTCGGCGATCCAACTTATGACGAGTCTCTCCTTGCTCGTCCCCAGGGAGTGCAGAGACCCCGCAGTGCCCATATAGACACTTTCGTTAGAGGGTGACAATGTTAGATGGCGCGCGGCACGACTCTACATCAGGTTTTCCATCTCTGCTGAATCCGCAAAATAGAAAAATCAGAAAGGTGATAACCCTGACCTAAAAATTTATCAGCTGAGAGTAGTCTGATCTAACGACACTGATATATGCAAAAAATATAAATACCGCGCCCCTCCCCCTATACAACAAGCTATGCTGTTCAACTACGCGCTTCTTCTTCTTCTTCTTGTTTTGAGAATCCTTCCCTAATCTGGGCACTAACTTCCCTCTCTTTTTGTTCACACTTCTATCGACAACAGCAGATGGCTAAGCGGCAGACAGCCGTGCGTCAATAGCAAAGAGGCCCGTTTCAAGAAAAGAAGGAACTCTGCCACCGTTGCGACAACCACCATCGCCGCAGCCAATGCATTATTCCCCAGCAGTGCTAGCTGACAGCTCACTGTTGGGAGAAAAAAAAGAGGAGAAAGAAGGAAAAGAGTGAAGAAAATACAAAAAGTGCAAATCGTTAGTGCAATAGAAAAAAACTAAAGACGATTGCGGTGAAACTATTATACAACAGCTACTATATGCAAACATTATGCTTAGAGCCGAAATGCCAAATCGGAGAACTGCAGAGACCATCTGAAGATGTAAAAGACTACAACAGAAGAGAAGTAACTGCAAACGATTGTCGTAAACCAACTGCAGTGCTGCATTGGCTTCGGCTTTTCTCACATGGTATTCTGGATGACTCGAGCTATTTAATGCTCATCCGTTGCAACGGCAGCACGTTGAAGAATAATTCTTGCATAAGCTTTCTGATAACTGGCTACCGTTTTCGCACTACAGATCCAAACTGCACATGTGATGCCTACGATTAGCTGGCAGAGATACCTGAGAAGATAGATGATCAGGAAAAAATGAACAGCGCAACTTTTTCTTAGATGTCGGCATCTTCAAAGATGCAGTGATTGATTACGGAACAAACCACAGTGTACTTGCCACAGACAACTCACTTTATGAATATAAGTACTAATTCCGGTCCTGGAGAGATTGCATCCATTCGTTGACTGCAGCTTGTTCGTGGCATAGTGAAACCAAATTTGACACGGTCAGGATGGAGACATCGAAGCGTGTACAGTGCTGAAAAGAAAAAGTTATATGCCAAAACTACTTTCATCGCTGAGAGAAAGCACAATCAGGAGCATATTAACTGACAAGTAAGTTCGACTCATAGAAAAAATTAACGTATGATCTGCTACCCCCGCCCCATCCCATCCTATCTACTATGCTTGCCAAGTTTTTCAAGCTTCCTATCTTTTTACCTTTTCACCGAAAGTTCCCAGAACTCCTCCAGTTTCCAGATTTCCCCCACAATTTGCCCGAGGGTGAGGATGGGGGAGAGGTCGTCACCAACATAGTTTCAACTACCGAAAATAGTAGTGTTCTTAAACACCACCTCCTGGAAAGGGGTAAGGTTTTCTTAGACCATGTATGAGCCCACCCTCTCTACCCCAGCAACTGAACAGGACCCCTTTCTCCGGTTAGGTTACCACCATCATTCACACATCAAAACACTGAAAACAAGGCTTCTCGCTTCAGAACTCCTCCCATGCCCCCCCCTCCCCGGTCTAACGCTAAAGTCGAGCTATGGAAAAGAAATCGTGAAACAGCAACATCGCCGAATAGCTGGACGGCTGGTTTCTAGAGCGAGAATCTTCAGGGACCTACACACAGGTAACCTGAGCTTGGGAACTATGCCTTTCTGATCTTGACTGTCATAACGCACATCTCCACCATCATTTGACGGTAGAGACAGAGGCGTAGGGTTCGATCCTACATTCGAAAAACATATCGAGAATACGCAGTTAACTTCAAGTTGTGTCACATTTTTTCAAATTAGACTTTCTTTTTACAGAGAGGCGTACAAGATCAAAATTATACAGCAATGTTATTGAGAGATCCTTGCCAGTTTTTGGACAGTTCGTGGATGCCATCGCTTAACAATGCACGCCGGCGCGACGCAAAGTTGGACATCATCTCAACTTTGACTTGGGCTCAAGTCGTGGAGGTTTTCTCGGCTGTATAACGGTTGAATACGGGAGGCGACTAGCAGTCAGAAAGAGCAATGTCTGGACTACACCGGTGCAAGGGGAGAGCCATCCAGCTCTATTGCATGAAGTACGGCTCGAACTTTTTTTGACGGGGTGTGCTGCACCAGCACGTTGAAGACGGACTGTGCCGATGGATTTTGCCCTCTGCTTGACGATTCGCTTCAGATCTCGTAGCTGCCTTGCGTACGGATTGACCGAGGAGGCAGCTTCTTCATCCAGTAGTTTCCCACCGCTATCTAGAGCTGAGTTTACAGGTACTCCCGAACCTCACTTCGTCATTCGAACCGTAGGCTCCCGCTCTGAAGAGCTAGCGTCGTGGAAGATTGTCTGATGACTGTAGACATTGTCCTTGTGCAGCTCCATTATTTCGGCGTCGACAGCTGCCATGCTGGCGCCAGGGGGTCGGTGCTGAAGGCAGCGGATAACATTCTTGTCCATAATGCAGAATAAGGATGAGCAGGAGCCGAGCCAGTGACACTAATAGAAAGATCAATCCTTAATGTATAAATGCTCACATTACCGGTTAGCCCTCTTCAGGTAATAGGCGAATACTTGGGTTCAAAAAAGTATGACAGAACTTTCCCGCCAACCTAATATATTTACAGATACGGCCAATTCGTATGATTTTACACCACTTCGCAATCATGCTCATCACGTTTTTACACTTCACTACTCATTTTATCCGTGAAATTTTCAACCTTTCGTATAGCAGATGGCTTAAACACCTCTAGCAATGGCTAGAAAAACTCACTATCTATCCAAAGTGGCATTTGAATCGCTTGATAACAGAGCACAGCAGCGCTCGCTGCAGTCGGCAACACGTACATGACCGCAAAACCACTAACCCTAAACAATGCGCCATAGCTGTCACTTCTAAAGATACACCTTAAAAGCGACGGATCTCCCACCTGAACATCAGCTTTTCTAACTTTCGAATGTTTTTGTCCACATCTGCGTGTTGCAATTTGATATACGTGCGAATGCGCATCATGGAGCAAATGCCACAAGCAAGCAGGAAAAGTCCAATAACTAAAAACGACGAATGAGTGACAACCGCAAAATGAAGGCTCAGAAGTATTGGACAACTGCAACTATAACTAGAATTGCTTACCGATACATCCAGTGAGTGGTAAGAACAAGTAATAGAGCATCGCTTTCGGCTGGAGATTTCCTACAGAACAGATTCCTGCAAAGGATGCTCAGAAGATAAGCACTACGATACGTTCTGTAGGTTTGAAAATAAACCACTAGAAATGGAAATTTACAAGGAATATCCCTACTTGTCACTGATATGTGTTCCCCTTTATTGTTCCCTGCAAAGCACTGCTTAGTAAAGCGCTTAACCCTTGGGCCTTCAGCAATCGATAAGACATTTTTCTTTTTCTCCTCTAGTTGCACTTTAGCTTTGCCCAATCTGTCCTCCTTTTCTAGTTCTTTCGCAACTCGCTCGCAAAGGAAAAGATTCTATCGCTGACGTTTCAGAAGAAGAGCCCTCTATCAGATTATATTCATTTCCATATTCCAACAACAACGAAAAATGTCAGAATCTCCAAAGAACCCACCTGTAAAAACATCACCATCAATCGAGTTAGTCACAAGTACTACGACCGACAGGAGTGCTGGTATTCCCCAACATGCTGCATGCAAGTAAGGAGCCAGGCTGGCAATAGATTCTGCGCCCCATTTACGATTTGCAGCTAGAAACCATGCCAAGCATAGCACGACCCACCTGAAAACGACTATAAAAAGGCGAGAAAATGGAATTTTCGCATGATCTGCATCTTTTTATTTTTTCACAGATTAAACATTCGCAACAATTTCAACTTGGTTGCACTACTTCGGTCTTCCTGGTATTAATGGTGAGTGCACAAGCAAGGTAAGAAAGTTGATGGCTAGACGTTTAACTTTCAAAATAGAGTTGTGTTTGAAATTTCAATTATTTCATTCGAGACAAAGTGTAAAGCACCATCTACACAATGTTTTTGGTCAGTTTTAGAGCAATGGTACCTAGTTCTTTCTCGATATGGTCCTTTAGCAACCCTAGCTTGATTCAAATTTTTGATCCTTTCATGGAAGTGAGAATAAGCGGCAATTCACAAATCCTTGTAAGGAGACAAAAATTTTCCAATATCTCTGAAAACTGTTGTCGAACAAAGGAGCGGTTCAGCTAAGAAGTGATGAGAGGGCATATAACCAATTGTTGTCAAAAAGGAGGACCATTTTTTGGGACACAACACCTGCAAAGCTAAAAAATGACATGAGTTTCATTTTCAGGCCATTCTTGTTCGAATATTTTCTCTCAAGTTATATGGTGTTCAGTGCGCAAAGGTGGGAAGAAACTGCTGTTATCGATTGATGGGAATTTTCGCCCAAGTCCTAGCAAAGCTACTCTAGGGTGGGTAATCCGAGCCTTGCAAATAGGCGGGAATGAAACTTGTAACAGTTCGCAACCGACCCGGGATGACAGGATTCCACAAAATACCTCATCTCAAAGACTACCTGTGCTTGCATAAAATTTGCAGTTCATGCAGCCACGTTATCGATGCTCTTCTAATTCACTGAAGTAATATCAAGGCCTATTTCTAGCGCAAATGAGAAACCTATAAAGGATTTCTCAACTGTATGACGACACTCTCATGCAGGTGGTGCCATAGGGTCTTTCAAGGGTCCTTTTCCAAAAAAGGTTCAGCGATGAGTAAAATGACTCTTCATTATCAGAGAAAAATCACTAGGCACGTATACCGCCTCCACGGTGAGATATACACCTGCGGGCTGAAGGTGAGCTGACCTATCGATAGACTTGCATTACTCCCCAACTTCGAACTGCACATTGAACGGCGCCAACTGAATGTTTTTACATGATTTAGAGAACGGATAACTAACTCACCAAACACTGCTAGCTATCGTGAAGTAATAGTGCGCCACAGCGAGAGCACTGCATGCAGTACCTTCACCACCTTGGGCGACCAATAATTGTGGGGTGCCACCATATGGTCCACATGCAAAACTGTCCTCTCCCACTACGCCTAAACAAAAGGCACAACTCGTTAACGACTTCACTTTTTTGCTTTTCAAATTCAATTCAGAGCTTTGACAATGTTAATGACCTCAGCGTGCAACAAGGTCAAATGGATAGAAATAGAGGTAGGAGTAAAGTAAACATTCGGGTCAACACTCACCGGTCATATAAACAATTGAGATCATCAGATAACACATTGCCATGTACAATATTGGGCGGACAGGATAGGCAAAACGTGCGAGATCAACCAGAAAGGTTGTGATTGTGAAGAGCGCACAAACACAACATGCTACAGCCCATCCACCAGTCCAAAACCGTAGATAACGACGATGACGTTTGTCGAAAAACACCGGCACCTGAGTTGATAGGGCTACAACTAGGTTCACACAGGGATAGGTTGCAAACTACGTAGTAGAAGTTTACTTGTTAATAAGGAAATTTGGGCGCGGATGGCAGGCGTTTAGATGGGAAGGATTAGAAAAGGAACAGATAAGGGATCTGAACTGATAAGAGGTGAGCCCCCTTTTCAGAAAAGGAAACAAACAAAATTAAAGAACAAAAGAGAAGAGATAAGTTAAAAACCTAAGTTAAAAAGTCATGAAACTGAGTAAAAAAAGTAATAAGTAAGAAAGGCAAAAATGAGTGTGAAGGCTTGTATTACCTGATTATCTGCGGCACATGGCAAACTGCAATCTTCAAGTACTCCACTGGACAGTGGAAGAGAGAAGTGCGACCGCATGGATGCCGACATTGTGAGTGGACATTCCAGATTGTTCACCAAAGAGTGAGATCTGTAAAAGCAGGACGAATGCTTCCACTGTGCGGAAAAACAGCCACTTGCCATCATACAAGCCCACAAAAAGATAATTATATCGTGCTAATTATTGATTAAAGGATAGAGAGAATGAGTACGAACCGATTTGGCGGCGGTGTACTTGTCTTGTTCTCTCCGACGCAAATCCCTTCAGTTGGAAAGTGCTTACAGTCCAGTTGTTCTGGCCATCGAAATCCAAATTTGATCATCAGACTTTCACAGCCATTCTTTGCAGACAGGCATAAGTCACGGCAAGGTTGGATTGGTTTTTCCAACTGAGTACAAACAGGTGCGTACCTAAAAGGGTTCAAATCTCTACTAAATTCAACTCATTCAAGAAATTTATGCGCAAGCATCCTTTTCTTTTCAACAGAACAAATTAGAAACAAAACAGGTTGCACGAAGGGGCCTAGAAAATAACAGACTGGTTGGGTACAATACACTGCGGCATCAAAATACATGACACCTCCAACCTCGATCGCTCTACAACAGACTTTGACTCAATTGCGGTTCAGAGATCTGAGAAAACTGGGAAGGGACCCTTGAAGGGTTTTTCAAACAGTTTGTTGCACTGTTTGCAGGAAACACTCAATTTTCAAGTTCAACAAAAGAGCCTGAAGAAACGGAACCCCCTCATCAATAAATTTTCAACGAGCAGAAAACTTGAAAATGTGATGAGTGAATGGAAAAGGATTGACATCCTCTAACGAGGCCTAAGGCGCAGTTCGGTGACGGGGGGGGGGACTATGCATTCCCGTTGCTTCATCAACTCGGCTTACAAGTCTCACTCTGGTAAGAAGCGTGAACTCTTGTTGGTAAGAAGCGTGAACTCTTGTGAAGCTGAAGCAAGCTTGTCGTGGTAGCCGTCCATCACGGTAGCACCTGTCAACCCTTGTAAGCTCACGAAGTGGCCCTCTAATGGGTCGATGGGAAGCAGCAAAAGTGCTTAAGGTCCCCTCCAGCGCCCAAACTGACCCGGGTGGAACTAGTGACGTTCACCAGAAGACAAAGAAAGCAGGAAAACAGTCAATAAGCTCGATTCTATGAACATGAACACGAAACAGAAGCCTATCAAGCTTGCTTAGTGTACTCAAGTGAAGGAATACATTCAAGAAGGAAGTTATAAAGCAAGGTAAAACAAACTGTTCCCCGAGCTTCTTTGAATTAGTAAGTGTTCACACTGCGCGTCAGCGTTTTGAGCACCTGTCACAGAGTTTTCAGCGATTAGTAAAGTATAGTTATCGATCTAGTATTGACCAATACCTGTACCTTCCCAGTCGCTCAAAACGCTCGAAACACTGACATTACCTGAACGCTGAACAGGGGTTACCTGACATTCTGATTACGAATATGACATTAATTCTTGGCGCTTGCAAAGCTTGCTAGTGGAAGACACTACGGTCATCAGCGCTCTACTAAAGCTGAGCCTGGCCTGCAGGAAATCACTTTCAGTAAATGACGCTGAAGTCGAAAAATAAATGCCATATTCCTGATCAGGGCTTAGAGGCAACCCTGTTCCCTACCCTATGCGAGTTTTTCTTCATTTTGATGAAAAACGGCGCGGCGCCAAATGGCGCCAGGGCTAGAAATCAATGTCATGTTTGTGATCAGGGTACCGAGTAACCCCAGTGTGCAGGTTTACACCGATTTCGGTGAGAAAAGTGGTGGTGCCAAAATGGCGACAGCGCCAAAAACGAATGTCTGCTCCTGACCATACCTCGACTACCTTTACGCGCAAACTTCCACAAAAAAATTGAGTTTTTGGGGTAGTGATAGTTGGATTCAATGCCAAAAGAGCTCTTCGTTTCTACCTATAATAAGAGTATTCCTGGCTGAATTTGCCGGTGTCGAAATTCATCTATTTCCGCTCTACAGGACCTTTTTCCAATCAACCCCGTACCCATATCATTGAAACCGGAGCACTAAATAAACAGGTACATCGCCACACATAGCGTACATTACACCATCGCGACGACAACAATGAAATATGTTCGGGCGCTCGTCGAATTTCTCCCCGCTATGGAGTATCTCTCAATCTTTTCATGTTGCGCAATGATGACAGAAGAATTCGAAGGAAAAAACTCACACTGTGCATAAGAAAAGTTTAATGTCTTCAGAACATCTGACTTTCACAAGTGGACTAAATTGGTTGATTGCTATTTCCGCATCCTCTTGAGTTTGATGATTCAACAGATTCGGATACACTGTACTGTTATACGGAAGATCAACACACATCGGTATCCTCAGTGGAACACACTTCCGACTTGGCGGAAGCATTTGCTGAAAATCAAAACAGATGGCAATCTGGCGAAAATCAATAGAACAAGTGGAAGTTTTTAGATCGGTTCAAGCGCTTTGGCTGCTCCTCTAGCATACAACGAGTAATCCACCTGACATACCAACTCCCAGTCCACAAAGAGATCTAATAAAGAGAAGCAAGAGTGTATTTGAGAGTTGTTGAGAATAATCCCCCAAAAAGTTGCTTTTTTGGCAATAGTGAAACAGCAAGTAGTCCAAAAGTATAGTCGATCAAGAAACGAAAGGAGAACTCACCTGTTGATATACTTGAGCTTCAGCATAGAACGAAGCAAATATCAAGAAGGGAAGAGCATAAAGAGAATAATATCGTTCGAAAGACATCCTCTTGATGTTAATAATCGTCTAGATCATACTTCGCACCTCCTTAAACGAAACATTGTCGAAATTCCGAAACGATGTACTTAAATATACGGACATCACATAAAATTGAGTAATAGCCGCAGTTAATGGCCCATAAATCAATGGAGCGCTCAGTCGGTTTAGCCCGCCCCTTGGCCAGCCGCCAACACGCCCTCTTTGCTATCGTGGCGGGACCACCAGGACACTTTCGCGAAATTGCAGACTTAAGAAGGTCTCGTAGGAATTAATTTCGTTCTTGTTCGTACTGTTGGCAATGTTCGCACTTGTTTGGAATAGTATACGACCTGGAATATGAGGGTGGTTATTTTTCTTTTTTGGTCTTGGTCGAAACTGTCAAGTTCCCGTTTGCTTCTTACAGCTTTTGTGAGGGAACAGAACGTGATTGTTTGCTATTTTTAAGCTATTCCAGCAGGATTTAAACACTCGGTAGAGGGGAGCCAATCGCTAAGTGCGAAAAAATACTCCGCCCTCACGGTAGTCACAGTTTTGTCCACCCTAACTTATT